CATGTAGTAAAACTTTTTTTTACACAAAATTTACATTATTGTATTACATTATTATTTAATAACATGTAGTAAAAACCATTTAAAGCAGAGCGTATCGTAAGCCTGTACCAGAACGTCTGTCAGAACTGTCTATTTCGTGACGCAAAGCATCCATGCATATTACCTTTTGAAGACCACGAATACCATTAACACAACATCTCCGAATTCCACACAGAAAAGCGTAAGATAGTAAATATATTAAACAAACTAATATATCATTAATACACAGCGGCCGGTAATCAGACGGAACCCCATACCATCCACATCTCAGAACCGCGTATGTTTTTTTGTAACCGAACACAGTTTCGTCTCGACGATAAGTGACGATTTAATGACAATACTCCTGCTGCCTTATACGGTACCAGGAGCAGACTCTGAATCATGCACCATTGTACGAACACTTGAAAATTAATAAATAATAACTACTTTTCAAAGGACAAAACATCGTTCGCAGTCATTTATTTTTCACTGTCCGACATTTCAAAACATATGATTATGTTAATTGGTCATCGTAATGAGTGCGGTGACACTAATTACTGTGTATGTAAAGGCTTTTTTAAGTATATACCTAGTGCTAATGATGTTGTATTTTAGTACAAGAAAGTATGAAAAATGCATTAGTTTATGTTTAATCAAAGGAGATTGTGTAATTTGTCCGTAATTACATATTTTCTACTAATTTTTTGTATTTTGTTATCGTTCAAGCATCACGCAAATACTTATTTACATGTTTAAAAAATTCCGATTGGTTTAAATTGGTAAATACTACTAGGTAAATGATGTTGATTTGCACTATATATTACTATATTGAATTTAAATATCTACTAATACGATGAGAGCCGGACACATCATAATCAAAATAAGACTTATCTTTCGCTAAATCTCTGATTCACTCATTCATACGTTGAGAGGAATTGCCTACTATGTTGTTGGTAGCGAAGATTGAAAATGATAAAAAAAAATATTAATGTATCATCTAAATTTTTTTTACGTACACACGTAGAAGTCTTATCTCGTCTAGTATATTAACTAAATCAACTACTACAAATGTTATGTAAATCAAATATCACTTTTAAAACGTTGTAGAGCAGTTCTTTACAAAATAAATTCGAACGGATTGAAAAGTGTTACGACTATGTAAAATCGATTTAAAATAAATAAAAACTGATTCATCAAATTGGGAGCAGGACAAAACATTTGCATCGACCCTGTTTGTTTTAAACAATGTAATTAACCATTTGCCGATAGTGCGCATTCGTGAATACGCTTTTTTTTTCAATGACATTCTAATTATTAATAGTTTGTTAAATATATAATAATAGCTCGATACGCAAAACAGGCGTCAAAATGGAAACTAACGTTCTTTTCTATTCGAAAAAAAGAGATTTTTCATTAATATTCAGTATCGATTTTTATCCCGCATATTAAACTAGATTTCACAAGCTACATATTTGGCTGTATACTTTTAACATTACTATACGATTTTTAATTAAGACTAACCAAGAGCAACAAATTAGTGATACTTCTGATGGTAGAAAGAAAAGTTGTTCATGAAGATGGATGTCACCGGACGAACCGTCAACGTTTTTTGCCGGAAACCCGTTTTATACATGAGAATCTCGCGTCGAAATGTCGTAGGAGTTTTTTGAAATCATTGTTTCGTGTGTACTGAAGTCACGATATACAGGAGACCAATTATTGCAATGCTCTCGTTCATAATATAAACAACGTTACAGTTGGATGTTTAAGATAGTGGTAATACCAAATGCTTATCTACAGTATCGATGCCACTATCGTCTTTGGCACATTCGAATAGAAGTTACTGATATTTCAAGGCTTAAGAGTAAAATAGGTGTCAATAGTTCGAGCGGTCATAATCTCCAAGAGCCCACCGCTCCATAGACAACTCCTAATTGAGACATTTTAAAGCAATTTACAGAATCTGTGACAAAACGCGGTCAAGCCAATTTTAGGTTACTGTTATTATCATTTCACATGTTCTTTTAGAATAGTTTTTTTTTTAATTAAATGATATTGGATTCAATATCACATAATTGTGTAAAAAAGTCTCTTAAGCGTATGTATGTATTTCTCCAATAATTAAATTTTTTTTCGGAATAAATTGTTTTTCATTGTAATGTAATGTTATGCAAATATATGTATATGCGTGTATAATATTATAATAACATGTAAATTGAGTTTTTTTTTTTCTTAAATGACCTAACCCCTACGTGACGTACATTAAATTAAAAGTAACGTGGAAAATTTTCACAAAAATTATTTATTCAAGATTAATAAGACACGGTGATATCCAAGATTGTCAAAATGTTCAACTATTTTCCTTTTTTTATATTACTTTTAATAGTTAAATTTAATTTCTGTGGTATAATGCAAGCATACTATTTGCCTGTTCTTAAGTTGAATATTTTATCTGTTAGCCAATTTTACGGGATCATTCCGAATTCTATCTGAAGCCATTAAAATATCTTATACCTTTAAACGAGCAATTCTTGTATATATATATATATGATCTGAATCTCGGAAACGGCTCCAACGATTTTTATAAAGTTTAGTATACAGGAGATTTCGGGGGCGATAAATCGATCTAGCTACGATTTATTTTCAGAAAATGTTGTTTTATTCGTGTTTTCAATAATCAACTCTTCCCGACATCTATATCTAACTAACCGCTTTAAAGACACAACAAGGTGGCGTCATCAAAAAAAACCGAACTAAGCTCGGTCATCATCTAGTTCTTATTAAATCTTTCGTAACATAATCAACACTTCCAATTAATAAGAACATCATATCAGAATAATAATCAAAATGAATCCTAAGAATGAATTACCTACATACTTTTAAACAATTGATAGTAGTTGCAGCCTTCCATTTAACAAAACAATATTTGTACGAGTATAATCCACAAACAATTATTATCAATGTTTATTTGTTTAAGCTTACGTTTGGCCAGTAAATGCGGTCGACAGTACAATGGAAAACACATCGACATACTTTCCTATAATTCATCACAATAATAGTACTTGACGGTCTATTATGACGTAAAATAGATTCTAGTAATAAACACGATAGTACAAATAAGACTTTTTTCTAAAAGATAGATTGGCCGTTTATTTGACGTGTGCAGGTAGATATATTTCCTTTTGTTCGTCATCATTAGAGAAGATAAGCAATGCTACCACTCATGCCGGTCGCGCAATTAAAAAAGATGGCTATTATATTAGTAAATACCCTTTTACGCTTCGATATGATTCACTTATTTTATGAACTTTTTCCCGTGGAATTTCCAAAACTCTGTCATGCCAATATTCTTTCGGACCCCGCACTCTATTGTATGTAATTACGAATACAACTAAAATGACCACAACTTAGTCAGAAATACATGTGGCAATTAACATTTATTCATTACGATTTTTTATAGAAGTCGAAAATAATCATAGTATCAATTGTTGCGATCTTTCATAAATGAAGGAGACAGGCTATAATCTTTTCTGAAAAAAATTAGGAATCCTTACTTAAACTTCAATAATGTAACCCAAGGTGTAAGTAACACAATTACCTAAAACATTCTTTACACACATCTTTCTTTCGCGTGCCCTGCGAAAACTATTGATGATAGAATAAAATAATGTACTAAGACTTTGTAGAACACATTATTATTTACAAAAAGTGTCGCGACAGCATATGCCTAATTATTATAGTTATGCCGCAATAAGTGTTCCTTTATTTAAAAAAATAAAACAACGTCAAATATCGTTGAAATTTTTGTTAAAGACCAGAGCGGAGCCGGAGCGGGCCGCTTGTACATTATAATTTGCTAAAAATAGTTTACAAATTAAAAAAAAAATGATATAATTAATAAAATCATGGAAATAAACTGTAACGCTCTTGAAATACAAAGTCTGTAAATGGATTTTATGTCAATGTAAAAGCAATCGTTCTGTTTGTTACATCATAATAATTGTTATGCATTATGTGTGGACTCTGAATGATTCTGACGCTAAGCAATTTTTTCTGTAATTTCATTTAGCCTTCACCCACGCGTCATAAACGACAATAATAACTGAAAAGTGTGTTTTTCATACAAAAACGCGATGTTAATGTTTTTTTCCAAAATTTTAAAGGAATCTTTGAAGTGATTATTTCTGAATCTTAACGTCATTATATTGTTTGCTTAATAATAATTAATCATATCATTTTTTAAACAAATTATCGCTAAAAACTATTAAAAAATTATAAAACCAATATACTGTTTATGTATAGTAATTGGTTACTCGTACCGAAATCAAAAAATTTATAATAATACAATGACGTAACATTTAAATATATATATTGTATATTTAATTATTCAAATATATATCATATATTATTCCTTCTCATGTTGCTCTAACAAGCTCTTGCATGTTGCGCGTTTGGGATGGTATGGACATGTGATGAGACGAAATGAAAATGAGGTTGGTAAGAGAGTGTTAACTATGAATGTGGAAGGATATAGAGAAAGAGGTAGACCTAAGAAGAAATGGATAGATTGTGTGAAAGACGATATGGGTAAGAGGGGAGTGAGCGAAGAAATGGTATAAGATAGAAGAGTATGGAAGGAGAAAACATGTTGCGCCGACCCCAGGTGACTGGGAGAAGAGCAGGATAATGATGAAAATGATATCATGTATTATTATTTATACAAATATTGTATTTTTTTTATTAGCTTGTATCTTAAACGTTTAAGTGAAGTTTTTTATTACATTTGAGATACAAGGTAGGCCCTACTCCTTTAAGTTTGAGAAGCATCTATATAATCGGCACTTTAAAGCAGCACACCACGACCTGCCTTAGCTCGAGACGACTGACCCCTAAGTGAAATGGCAACATCTGTCCAATAAATATAAACCTTACATCATTCTGTTAGGTGTCAATTTTTAGTGGGTAAGAAAAAATAAACTAACCTGTCGTCTGATAAGGACGTGGCTAACTCGACCTCTGACTCTGACAGACAGCACGTATTCACCGGGATGCGCCTGAGATTCTCGAACCAAGAACGAACCGTTCTTCCCTTTCTCCATAATGAGGCTCTCGGCTTCTTTGGCTGACATAACACCGTGGAACCATCTGCGAAACACAATCTGCTTTAGAAATCCACAAAGAATTATTTGTAAAACAAGGTAAAACAAGGTATCTTTATATTAAGTAATCTAATGACCCGTAATGACCCGCTGTCTCCATCGTAACACCACTGCGTGGATTCTAACCAATGAAACATTTAATGGACTCTGTTATTAGGTTTTATCGTGATCTTTATTTAACCCATACTGAATTCTCATTATACGATTTGGAGTAAAGCAGCTTGTTAATAACACACCGGACTTATCAATTTATGATAAATACTTAAGAACCCAAAAATGATTTAACGAAAATGAGTTACCTACTGATAATATTAAAACTTATTTTCCTTCGGGGGATCATATACTACGAGTAATCTTATAGAATTTTAGTTTTGAGATAAATTAGGTGACTGATATTCAATAAAAATTGCAGGAGAGTTAACTATACTTGAGACCTTCGAACTTATATCTCAAGGTGGGTGGCGCATTTACGTTGTAGATGTCTATAGGCTCCAGTAACCACTTAACACCAGGTGGGCTGTGAGCTCGTCCACCCATCGAAGCAATAAAAATAAATAAAAAAAAACAGTCTGACTAGTGTTCTTAATTAGGGTGTAGACGCTCTATTCTATGTTTCAGTCAAAATACATAGTTAATAGTAATTCCAGAATATCCTCATTTAAATTGTAATCCAAAACTATTTAATACGCAATTTAATCTACGTCAAAGTACTCAGCTAAATATTCCCACATTTCCAGCCATGTTTTCCAGCCTAAAATTTTTTAATGGAAATTTCCGAGACCTCTCTGCATAGAGAATTTCTAAAAATATCTTCTAATAGCTGCTAAAGTATTTGTAGTAAATTTTCCGTTTTTTAACACCTTTTAGCGAGAGAGCATGCTAATAAACCTAATGATGTGAGAATTTTGACTTATAAACGTGACTTAATAATTCTATCAAAAAAGTACAAATCAAATCAATTCAAAATGGCATATCGAATTGGTTATGTAAACGAATATAAATTTTAATCACTCACATCGAAAGGCTATATTACTCTAACTTTAATAAAACGGATGTGATTCATTTTAGTGTGATTCAAGTTTTGCAGATACAAGACGCACATATATCTGCTGCAAAAACGTGCGAGAATGATAAACGTATATAACACAATAATATAATCCAAAAATGACTATTGCTTGTCCACAATTATACAAAGGTTAGACTGGCATGGACAGGGATGTCTTTCAGATTATCTATATGTTTTAATTTATGATCAGAAGACAGTTTTAGAAATCTATATAAACTTACTTTTTTGTTTTATTGCTTAGATAGGTGGACGGGCTCACAGCCCACCTGGTGTTAAGTGGTCACTGGAGCCCATAGACATCCACAACGTAAATGCGCCACCTACCTTGAGATATAACTTCTAAGGTCTCAAGTATAGTTACAACGGCTGCCCCACCCTTCAAACCGAAACGTATTACTGCTTCACGGTAGAAATAGGCAGGGTGGTGGTACCCACCCGCGCGGACTCACAAGAGGTCCTGCCACCAGTAATTACGCAAGTTATAATTTTGCGGGTTTTATTTTTATTACACGATGTTATTCTTTCACCGTGGAAGTCAATCAGTCAAGAAGTTACTTAACTTGATTTATGAAGAGCATTATCCAGATTATTATGAGACAGTAGTGGAAGTTGCTAGTATGGATAGCGAAGTATATCAATAAACAACAACCGTCGCAACTGTAAAACTTACTGTAATCAAATCAGAACCACCATACTCAATCTTTATAATCATTTCAATTTATTTTGTTTTAAAAAATAAAAACCATTTGTATCTTAAATTATACAATACCACTGTACGAAAAAAAAACAACAGAGCCACTGAGGGTCATGTAAAGAAGCTATCCTGGAAATATGTATTACATTCATTTTTTGGGCGGTCGTATAAAAAATAGAAGTTCTAATTCATTTTGTAATATCGTATTTGTAACGTAATAATCCTTTCCATTTCTAATTTTAAATTAAGAACAATATCTTTTTTCTACAGTAGCGACTACTTGGCATCTTGCCAATTAGCCATCTATGTCCCTAATGATTGCGTACAGGCTCAATGCATTTTCTAAATGCATTAAACCAAACCAGATTAACTGGTAGTTACGTGCAACTGCGCAACTATCTGTCTGTAGCTGGAAGCGAAATCGTTGGTAAAACACATCGGAAGTACGTGCGTTGATTGATTATGTAATTAGAATGCAGCTGGACCATTTCTTTTTTTGAGTTCAGAAAACTTTTTAGTAACAATATTTATTGTTAAATCACACGAGTCTATGTGTACGTACATTGGTTTGTTACGCTTCTAAATATATAACTATATATATAGACAAAAAGTATTGATAAAATAATGACTTTGGTAATTTGCAATTAAAAAAAATTTTCACAAGAAATATGTTGGGAAATAATACGAATTTTTAACAAAAAAAAACTTCAACATGAAAATAGATTCATTAAAATCGTACAGAAAAAATATAATTTATTATTTCCAAGGCCGGGTGGAAGGCAGGAGATCACGCGGCCGATCTCCAACCCGCTGGACTGAACTAATAAAGAAAGCAACTGAGTCCACTATGGTCGAATGTACTCGAAACGCTTCGAACCGCCAGACCTAGAAGCGCATTGCCTGGAGGGCGATCCTCGGGAGCATGGGCCACCTAACGGGTGCTTCTGCATATACATCGTTAGCGTAACCACGACCACTCTGACAAGAGCGTCCGACTAAGAAGAGATTAGCTAACAAATTTAAAAAAACTTAGCCTCGATTGGCCACGAGGTCTGTTGTTCCTGAAATTCAGTGATAAAATCTACAATTTATTTCAATAAAGCACGGTATTAATAAATTAAATGAATATAATAAACTTACGTCTAACATAAATATATTCTAAACAAGTGATACGACTAGTCGACAAGTCGAATGGAATAATACAATTAAGCAAAAAAACATTGTTCGGTACATAGCTCAACGTTTACTACACACACATCCGCAAAGACATGTGCTCGAGTCTTTAATTGCCAACATAAAGCTTATTAAAAATTAACTTATTCTTAAGGACACTTCAAAGACTATATACAGCTGAACTGATACACATATGTTATCTTAGACTAATTATTTTTTGTTCAATTAACAGAATTACTAGTGGTCCCCTGGTAGTCGAAATTCGACTATAATTTGTTGAAATTACAGGTTTGTACACTATTATGATTTTACTGTCAAAGACTATTAAAATTCTATAATCAAAGATTTCGCCAAGACTGCACTTTAGACAAATATTAATAAAGACAAACAATATTTAATCTATTCTCAATTTGACCACAGACTATAAGCAATAAGAAAAGCTTAACAATAAACAATTAGTATGCATGCGTGTGTATGTCAAATACATGGTAGTTTGTGTAATGTTTTATTTATTTATTTATTTAATTATTTTTTTATGCTGCTTCTCTATATTCTCTAGAAGTGTGGAAAATTTCATACTCCACCGTCCGCGCAATTTTCATCAAAAGGGGTATAAAGTTTTTGCTTCATGTAATCGTATACCTTTAAACGAGCAATTCTTGTATATATATATAGTCTGAATCTCGGAAACGGCTCCAACGATTTTCATAAAATTTAGTATACAGGGGATTTCGGGGGCGATAAATCGATCTAGCTACGATTTATTTTCAGAAAATGTTCTTTTATTCGTATTTTCACTTTATGACTCTTCCTGACATCTATTGGCGAATAATAATACTATTTTTCTTAATTCAGGGAACCGCTTTAAAGACACAACAAGATGGCGTTATAAAAAAAAAACGAGCAAAGCTCGGTCATCATCTATATAGATTAAAACAGAACGAAATTGCTTTACTTTAAAAAAATATGGTTTTTTTTTCAAAACGCAAGGTTCTTCAAAGCGATTTAGTTTTCTAGCAAATTTTAAGCTTTTTTTTCTTTTCTTTAGTGATGTAATTATTGAATCAGCCCGTATCCAATGTAATAGTATGTTTATGTGTGTATTCTTTTTCACATATTTCCTGACTCGATTACCCGCTTCATGCATTATTTATTTGGTCTTATATACAAACGATAAGTATTCGCGAGTCATACAAAAATATGCAGTAAAAATACTTGCATATTGTGGGAACGTACACATTCACGTGACCAACGCGCATTTGCGATGAGAATGTTGGTAAAGCAAAGGATTTATATTTTTTAAATTCCTTTTTTAATTGATCGTGTAATTGCAATTACGATATTTACAATTCAATGTTTTCGTATATGATAATTTGACCCGACAAGCGTAACCAAATTTCAATACATTTAATTGTTCTCTATTTGTTTTTTTTTTTTTCATTACTATAGTTACCTTAAGTGCTTTTTTTTTTTAAAGTATCAGATGTGTATTGTGTACATTGTGAGCGCCCTCTCGTAATTGCGATGTTACTGACCATTCCCGCCGCGAAGTAGCCATGAGCTCCAGTTCGAAGGTTGGGGACATCCGCTACACAAAACAATTAAGATTTTGACATAATGTTTCAAGATGCATTTAAGATATCATCCCTGGAATCCGGTACGCACTCATTAGAGTTTCATAGCATTCGATAAAATCCGAACATACTTATTGGATTAGGTTTTCCTTCTTTTGCTGCAATACACAGAGAAGCTAGCTGGCCATCCGAACAAGCTACTACCATCGCCCGTCAATTGAAATTGGTAAACTCAAACGTAAACTACTTAGCAACATTTTCTTGAGCATACTCCCCCAAAATATAAAGAAGTGGTACGTCCAAGTTGAGATTGCATACTGATTTACGTTATTCATAGTTAAACAAACAATCATTAACAATCACCTAAATCAAGTCAACAAAGAGTCAAACAAAAAGAAACGCAGAATATACATAGTATAAAAGATTGAATAGTTTCAAACAAAGAAATTTACGTAGCAAATAGAAAAAAAAACTGCCTT